TCCAGAAACACAAGCACATCAAAGGTTAGTGCAATGCAGCGCTTGAATGTATTTGACTTGGTGTACATGTTACACCAAAATTTAGTCAAGCATTTGGTCGACTGATTTATGCATAGCCGGTATATTTTACACCATTGCGTGGGCGTGTTCTTATGCTTTATTTAAGCACTAAAATTCATATTAAAAGCATTAATAATCTCATAAACTTTGTCGAACGCACATGCACATTTTTACTTCTCGACTCATAAACACACATTTGCAGCAGTTCGTTTATAGTATAAATTATTTATGGCAACTGTGATTTATGGTGTCATCATAGCGGCTAATACTGGAGGGCTACTGCTATTACCGCATCCAGCCTAACTGCTCCATTCAGCAAATTTAAATCTTTAAATGCTATTAAAACCATTTTTTAATTTTTATTTATTTTATAAACATAACTGAAGGGAAGAAGATTGCATATATTTTTGCTTACTATTAGCAAAGATTTTTGGCACTCTTCCAAAATGGTTTCATTTCTAGTGGTTATATTTGTTATTTATTTTTGTTTCTTGCTCCTCTTTATGCCAATAATAAATATTTCACAACGTAAATAAAAAAGACTTAATTTCTTTATGAAATTTTTATCTAATTATTTGAATTTTAAATAAATGTTTTTCTACTTTTCATTTGAATAGAGAGAGGAATTCATACTCATGTAGTGGATTTAATTATGTTCATTTGCATATTTTATATTATTTTAAAATAATTAGGAGATTTGTATAATACAGTATTTATTATCATTTAATAATACTTGCGGAATGAACTTTCTAATTGGAGATTAAATGTGTTTTTATTTAAACAAAGTTTGTTTATTTTAATACCATCTAACGTAAAAATTTTAATTATTTAATTTAAAAATAACTTTTGTTTGAAATGAATTAATATATAATTGTGAGTATCCAATAAATACAAAATATATAAAATGAGTAATAAAAGTTTTGCTGATGTTAATTTTTTTTAAAATTAACATTTTCTTAAAAATAATAACTATTACACTTATTGACTATATTAGTTACGAATAAGAATTATTTTGATATCGAAATATATATTTAAATATATAAATTAAATACCATTAAAGCTCCAAATAGCACCTATGTAATAATAGTAAAAACGAAGGACTCCTTAAATCGCGGTGCAGACTATCATTTTTGAATGTCATTTAAGTTGCGTTCTTTCTTGTGCAAATTTATTCTAGCGACCGAACTTGAATGTGCTTACATTCAAGAATTGTCATTCAAGCAAAATTTTTGAAGAATGAGGGTGTTTACGCACGCTGTGATTGCGTTTCAAACACTGTAATTGTGTTGTGCAACCATGAAAAAATATGCTCTTGAATGACAGTTGCAAGTTTTTGGGTGACAGACTATCATTCACTTTTGAGTGCCATTCTAAGAATTTCTCTCTTGAATGACACTCAAAAATGATAGTCTGCCCAGCGTTTAAATGAGACTAAGTCATTTAGCCAATATTTAGTGGCCTATTATGAAAAGAGTCTGGGAAGACAAACATTTGCTAGACAGGAAGTCCAGCGTTTAACGTGATTACCTGCCATGTAGGCTCAACATTACGGTACTCAAAAGCACAACGTCTTTATACAAAGCGTCAATCAGCGCCCCATTGGAATTAACTTCGCCAGTACCAATGAAGAATTTGTGTAAGTCATTTCTTCCATCTTGGTTTAATGCGAGATCTACCTACTGCCTTTGCTACAATTCGGGCTGTAGCACCTGGTGATGAATACACAACTCCACGCCGAATGTGAACCATAAACTGAACATTTTTCTCGCGTAAGTTTAGGTATTAACTATCAGCCACTACGATGCCAAACTCAACTGCTCAGTCCAGCCGAAGCTGTGGGCCAATGACCCCCGTAGCACCAGATCGGATCATCTCTGATCAGATGGCTTATTACCATACGAACTTCCTACACAAGTGCCTGATTGGCACCGGGATTTTAGTCGCCTCTTACGACAGGCATACCTCACCGCGGGAATATTCTAACTCCTTCACCGCAGGGGGCATTTGCTAGACAGCTGGAGTGAAAGTCGTTAAGTTTAACACAAGATTTTTTCATCGTAAATAATTCATGAAGAATTAGAATGCGTGAGTTCGTTCATATACCTTCGAAGTGTTATAATAAATAAAGACTGCTTAAATGTGGATGTTGCCGTATGCATTAAAAAATCACAAGCTTATTGTGGGTAACTGAAAACTTTTGGAAATCATCTGAAAAAAACTAAAGCTAAGTAAGAACGACCCAAGCATATTTAATTCGAATATCGCCGAATATGCTATTAACGAATAAGTAAAACTATTGTTTTAGAAAATCTTAGACAGAAATTGCTTTCTTTTCTCTCAAAAGTAAATAGTTTTTAAAAATTTCTTTAAATCTGTCTGTAGTTGAAAAACCTTTTAAAAAAATATTAAGAAATACTTAATGCTCCCGAAATATTTACACATTTCTTAAACTAAACCAAAACAAGAAGGGTGAAGACCTTCGAAAATTCCCTTCGAAGGAGCTGGTTCGATGCCTCGAGATACAAAATGTCTAAA